CTTTCTAAAATACTCACTATTGTCACTGTTAAAATGAGTTTTCTTTGGATATTTAGATATCCAAAATTTGGTTTTGGACTTATTTCCCCAGTGTTTTCTTCTCTAAATTAGCTTATCCCTACATTCTGCTGAGTTAATGCCATGTGTTTTGATTTTTTTTCCCAAATTTATTCATTATAAACTATTTTTCCTACTCCTAAACCTAAAAAAAGACTTCTCAAAGCAACACACAAAAAATATTTAATGGGAAGTTTCTGTAGGTACATTGTTCCTTTTTCTCTGACAACAGTCTAGATAAGAACAAAAAACTAAAAATGCCTATCAGCTTTTTTCTCTTTAAAGTGAGTGTTGCGTGATTTGTAAAACAATCTGAGACATGAAGTCTCTGGTGCATCCTCTGCGGAGGGCAGGTCCAGGTGAGCCTGTGTCAGTCCTGCTTGATGGCTGCGTGCTGCCTGTGCTTAGAGGCACGAAGCAGTGATTCCCTCGCAGCATGCTGCAGCGTTGGTCTGCAGGGGGACTGGTAGAACCAGGCATCCCTCCTCACTGTTGTTTTGAGGCCGTTTGTGATTCTGCATGCCTGGAGAACAGCCCGTCCTCGCTATCCCATCCCTCGTGGAGGAGGCGCTCCCCAGCTCTTTGCCTCCCTGCGCTGCGTTTTGCAGCCAGTGGCAGGTTACGACAGCTTGTCACCAGCAGGGCGGTGATGTCCTCAGCCAGCGGGTGATCTGTTCCTAATGGCATGCTGTGGGTTTGCATCTCCAGAAGTGTTGGTTCCACCTGGGGCTGTGGCAAGCCTGCCTCCTGCGCTGCTCAGCTCTAAGAAACCGCTGAATGGGGCCAGTTCCGCACACGCCCTGCAGCTGTCCTTCTGGCCAGGTCTGGTGGCCTTCTGAAGCAGTGGCGACTGATCGCAGATCTAAGTTTTCCACCACGATAATGTACTCTTTAAAAATAGTGCCTTCTACGGAACATTTCCTTGGTGAAATTGTGAAAATATTGGGTAAATCAGAGTCCAAAGCTTGAACTCTTCTATTCTCCTTTGCCTACAAGGTGGCCACCACACCTACGTGGTGGTGTTGGTGTGAAATGTTCTCTGTTGGCTGTTATCATCTGCAGGCTGTCTTCTCAAGGGGGTGTGGAAATCACAAACACGTAATCCATTGTGTCCCAAGGAATTCAAAGTTAAGAGGGGCTGATACAGAAATCCTCGATTCCTGCTAAAGCAGGCGTTGCGCTTGCAGTCTTGTAGTCTTTTTGAAGTTGCATTTCTGTGTTGGCCACACACTTTCAGCTTATTGCTACCCACCGTGATGCTCCGTCAGCTGGTTCATCCAGCACATTCCGGGGCAAGGTTACCACCCGAGTGAAAACACTTTTTAGAGAAGTATTGTTAACTTGTCCTTTCCTAGTCTCATCTGGTTTGTTCCTTTGTCATTAGGAAGAAGAGGTGCCAACGCTCCTTGTTATCACGGAGGAACAAGCTTTGTGTCCTTGTGCATTGGCCAAATTTTTTCCTTGGTTGTCTGCTTGCTCCTGATGTCAGCACAGGGAGAGGCTTTCTTGTTGGCCCTTTTGTACATCCTTTGCTAGGTGTATCATACTCTGTGCATTGATCTCTCTGATTGTGACCCTGTGTTCTGAAGTTCTTCCTTTTTTTTTTTTTTTTTCTCAGCTGGAGGATTGCAAGGTTGCAGAAGAGCCTGTGATTCTGCTGGATTGGTTTCTTGTTACACTTTGCTTTATATTGCCACAGTTGCACTTCTGCCTTAATAGGGTTTAAAAACCTGCTAGTTCTCCAGAGCTCCTTTGCCCTTCAACATTTCTCCTCTAGGACCTCACCTGCTGGTTCTCAGGGATCCTTGAGATCTGCTGTCTTGAACCTTCTTATTTTTGTTCTGCTTTTCCTTCCTGTCCCTTCCTGGGAATTGCGTACCCTGTCCTTTCATGATCACTGCCCCCAGTGTTTCCTCACCTTCGTGTTCTCTGCCAGGTATCGACATCAATCCCTGGAGTAAAGGATACTTTATACCTGTACTACGTTTTCCCACAAAGTCTCTTGAAAGACTTCATAATGCTAACCTTTGCTCATAGAAGAAAGCAAACATTTTAAAAGAGGGTCATTGGTTTCTTCTGGCCATGCTGGGAGTTGATTGCAAAATAAACTTTCATTTTAGAGCCCAGATTTTCAGGCTCTCATCCTAAGACCATCTGTACTCATGGTTTCACCCTGACAAAAGAAAAGAGGCACAAACTCAGACACTTCAGGTCATTTTAAAAGGATTTCCTTTATAAACAAGCTGTAGTTTCTTAGCAGGGAGAAAACAACTCTAGTTTTGTAAAGAAGTAGTTGTAAATTCCCCTGGCATTTTCCACAGTTAGAATTAGCGGTGTTGAATGAACCTGTCCTGAAAATAAAGCAAAAGCTGCGTTACTGAAATCGTGCCCTGGCAACTGGGGGTGGGGATGCAGTGCCTCACCGAAGCACCCGCCTTTCTCACAGAGGTCTGATTGGGGCCGTGCTGGTGACACTGCCAAATAACACTGGTAGATCAGAGATATGAGGTGTGCAAACCAGCCTTGGTTGGTGGCAGTCCTTACTAGCTGGGGAATCATCTATTCATCAATCATCAATTGATCATCAATAATCATCAATCATCAATTGATCATCAATAATCATCAATCGCCGTCATCATCTTAGTGGGGTGCTGGGATGGCGATGGCTTGTCTCCAAAGGGTCATGTAAATGTTCCTGACTCAAATTCTAACACAGTAAGAGCTTTCTAGTGTGTGTGTGGTTTTGGGTAGGACTTCTTTGTGTGCGGTGTTATTTTGGGATGGAAAGGAGTATCACGCTTAATTACCTGCTCAAGGCTTGAGTAGCTGGTGAGGCAGGGGATGCAGGGGTGACAGCCTGCAGGGGAGTGGGAAGGTGGCGGGGAAAGCCGGTCTCTGCTGGGGACTGTGAAACAATCTCATCAGCCCCAAACCCTTGCTTTGTGCCCTGGGAGAAAAGAAGCTGCTTTTTGCCAAATGAGCTTTGTAGACATGACCCGGTATGTTTAATAAACAGAATGTGCTAAAAATTCAAGGGCTGTTAGACGCTAGTAATTAATAGTTGTCCAGTGTGCATTAAGAGCCTGTTGATCTTCTGCCAGCTTGCCCTATTAAATATATGGGGTACAAGCTATGTAGTTAAACATGTAAGCGTTTTATAAATGCCTTTTTATAGTTGGCATTCCGAAAACTTTCCATGTTGGCAGCGTTTAAAAAAAAATGCAAAAAAGCTGTTTTTGCTTAAAGCAGCTTTGAGATGGTGAAGCAGTTTGAGAGTAGCATTTGAATCTTTGCTCTTGAAGCGGGCACAGCAGCATTTGGGCTAGGGTCTGTTCTTGTTGACTGTGGAGCTAGAATTTGTGTTTTAGCACTGCTCAAGTGGAGCTGCAGCCAGTGGGAATCTTTTGATGGTCTTCAGTAGGCCATTTCCTTCTAAAAAAGCAGCCGTTTCTTTCTGGAAAAAGTGCCCTTGTCTCTCTTTTCTCCTTTAAATGCTGAATGTTATCTCCTAATGCCCTTGGAGATGGAAGGAGTGAGTGAGGCAGGTAACCTCAGTCCTCTCCATGGCTGACTTCCAGGGATGATGAAAGCAGTAGAGAAAAGAGATCAGCTGGTTATAAGACTGAGTTTCAAGAAGATGCATTGCTTGATGTTTTCTTGTCCAGACCTATATTGATCTAATAACGCTATTTTGAAAGGCACGGCAAATATATACTACTACTCTTTGATTGCATTATTCAGTAAGCCACAGTAGAATTGGTAGGGGAGAAGTAGAAAAACTTTTGTAGTGTATTTTGGGGAACAAACAGGAGAGGGCAGAGAGAACAAGGAGGTGAAAACACAAATTCTTTGGTTTTCTTAGTGCAGCCTTTAGACGTCTTCCTACCCCTGTTCGATACTAATCTGAGTGCAGCAAGGTTAGTGGGAAGTTCCTCTCACCAGGGAGAGGTCCATGCTCTTGTACAGGCTCTCCTTGGGTTGGAGTTGTCCAGGAATGAGCATGTTGCTTTGTGGGGTTTCACTTGCTGGTCTGGATTAGGTTCTTCCAGATAACTTACAGTGGCTGAGTAATATCCTCCCATGGCAACGAATAAAGGCACAAGAAGTTTCAGGTATCTTCCAGGCACTTGAATGGTCGATTCACCTGAGTATGCTTTTTGCATTTTTGAGGAAAGCAAAATGTGGGTACAGTGGGTGGTCTTCTCTGCATAGGCAAGGTCGGCTGCCTATCCCAGTTCAACACAGCTGTCCCTCAGAGTGACGATCAGTGTTTTTTGTCCCTGCAGTCAGTTTGATTCCTAAATTAACACTTAATTTTTCCCTTTGGGTGTCAGAAACTGGGTGGCAGGTCTCAGAAGTGATGAGAAGCCCCTACTGAGTAAATCTGGGAGACTAACTGGATGAATCTATGGCATACTGCAGAAGTCCCAGAACCTTTATGTGTTTTGAGTAGCCTGCTATCATCTGTTTTGTTACTAGTGTTAACCAAAGATTGGCTTAGAAGTAAATCCTTTCCTTCTTAGGGTAATAGTTTGCCTTTCCAGAATGGATCCATAAGAGTCTTAGGATCTTCCTTCTTAAGTGCTTTATGTAGCTGTGGTCAGAAGAGGAGGTAGAGCTGGTTTTTCTTTCTTTAAAAAGAGGTCTTTCTGGCTGCAGAGCGTCATTTTAACTTCTTAAAAACCTTTTACCAATGATTCAAAATACGTATGCTAATGTTTATACTAGACTACAAGGTCCATTCTTTCTGGAGAGGACCAGAGTCTGGGAGGAGAGGGGTAGAAGACTGGTGTTCAAAGGTCACATCTGAGAGTTGTTGGAAGCAGGATCTTGCAGATAATTTGCTCTTGTTTTTCAGTCTTATTAAACAATACCAGAGTCCCCAGGGTGATGGATGGCTTCGTACAAATTGCAATGAATAACTCAGTCTCCTTTTCCTTCAGACATCATACAAATCCAGTGGGCACAGAGTGGAGATGGAAGATGGACCAACCTGAAATGATCTTGCAGGAGGCTATTGAGAACCATCAGAATATGATTAAGCAGTTCAAAGGTAACCTTTCTTACTCTTGCCCATTAATGATACTTTGGGAAGATAATCAGCAGCACCACTTTCAAAGTTTAGATTAAAACATTTTGGTTACCTGCAGAATGCTGGTAAGGAGGCATAAGATTTATAATCTCGGAAAGATAGGCAAATAGGAAACTTTGTGGGTGTACTTATTACTTGTTTTTGGAAATGTTCTGTCTTGTTTTTGAACTTAGAACATGAGTCAGCTGTTGGGAATCTACTGCTGCCTTGAGGGAGTACAGTGGAGTTGCCTGTTGTGCATCCTGGCAGTGACATCCTTTCTTTGTGTGTACAGAGGCTTCTGCAGTGGCTGAAGCTAGCCCGCATGATGAGTGATGTTGATTCTTATACAAAAGTGAGGGCAGGTGGAAGGCAAAAGGAATCAATTTCTAAACTGAATAGGAAATATGCTGTCCAGCCATATTCCCCTGAGAGCATTTGTTACCTCTGAAACTTCCAGGCTGTATTTTCCTCACTTATAAGTGAGAGGTAGCATTCAGGATGATGATATTTATTAAGAATTATTCAGTATATTTGTGTGCAACTGAAGCTGCAGTTGTTAGGCAGTTTTGAAAATTACTGTATTTTGCTTCCAATATCAAATCTTCATGAGTTCATTCACTTGCTATATGTCTGTATATATAGAGATAGAAGGCTGTTAGTTTTGTTTTGTTTTTCCCCCAGATGTGTGTAATAAGCTTGGTCTTTTTGCCAAGGTCAGCGTTGTGTGCTCAGAGGACTGGCCAGCTTGGCAGGGCAGGTCTAGAACTCTGCTCTTCCTAATTGACAGCAGAGGCTGCGTGAGCAGCAGGAGTGAAATGAAGCGTCCAGAAAACGTGCAAGATGAGCCTCAGTCCTGGCTGTCATTTTGGGAGCCCGTTTGTTTACGTTGGCTGTGCACAGAGAGAACCCAACGGATTAAAAAAGTGACAGGCAAAAAAAAAACTTGCGTCAGTGGAGGGGAGTTGCTCTGTCTCACTCATTGGACTTATGTAATAGGCAGAAAAATGACTCAAGCTGGGGCCTCATGAGCTTTGTTTTACACATTCATGAAGTGGCTGGTTTGAATCATCTTGCAATCCCAGACCAACAGCTCCAGGGAAGCCAGCTCCCTGGGAGCTCCCGTTCTGAGCTGAGTGGTTAGCAGCTAGAAGAACAAGACCTGGCTGCACTCTGCCCCTTGCATGCAGCCCAATGGGTTGGGTTGCAGTGCTGTTGTTCCTCAGGAGAAAAGTGACGGTGCTGTAGTGTAACAGGGGAAGAGGATGGTAGTTTGGTGGGGAGGTTTTCCTTACAGAAGAGCTAGTGAGAGGATTGGAGGCACAGTAGGAGTAGTTTGGTGTCAGTAGTGCATCTTCCTTCAGTTCGAGCAAAGCACAGCTCCTGGTGCTCGAGGCAGGGCAGGGTGTTAAGATGTGCAGGTCTCACATCCTAGCTTTGGTGGTGTTCCTTTTGTGCTGCAGCTAGGTGGGGAGAGTGCTTGGGAAGGGCAGAACACCTGCAGCAGTGCTGCCTGGCTGGCCCAGAGCCGCTGCAGGGTTTCATGGCAGCCTGTTAATTCAGCTGCTGGGATGCAGTGCCAGCACAGCAGGGGTTTGGGTACAGGTGGCTCATCTGAGTGAGGAGCCTGTAGGATGTCAGATTTCGTCTGGAATGCAGTAACAGTTAAAGCTATAAACAAAGCAGTATTCATGCTTAATACTTACAGCACTGAGCACTTCTCAGAATTCAGTCTATTCCGGATAGCCAGGCTATTAAATTAGTTGAAATGTGGCTGGGCAAGCTAAAGGGATCATGATCAATAGCTTGAAGTCTGGTTGGTGGCTGATAACAAGCAGGGTAATTCAGGTGTTGATCCAGGAGCCTGTGTTATACATCTCCATGAGCGGATGATGAGACTGAGTACACCCCCAGCAGCTTTGCAGGCAGTACTGATTTAGGGGGGGTGACAGGCGCACTGACCAGCAGAGCTGTACTTCAGCAGCACCTCGAGAGAGCTGCTCTTTGGGCTGATGGGGACACATGGAGCTCAGCAAGAAGCAGAAAGTTCTGTGAGGGTGTCATCGCCCTGTTGTCACTGCTGGGAGGAGACCCTCCTGCTATTGTAGATGAAGGGACAACAGAGTCAGGTTGCTGTTTGATAGATTCAGGCTGGACATAAGAATAAGCTTGCACAGGGAAGGTGGTGCAGCTCTCGGACAGGTCCTCAGAGAGGAGGGGAGACCGTCCAGCCTTGGAGGCTTTCAGGTCTTCTAAGCAAATCTGTTACTGCCCCAGTAGTGTTGGCAGCTGTCCTCTCTGAGCAGGAGCCTGGCCCAGACACCTGTGGCAGTCCCTTCTGACCAGTAGTTCTGTGACTTGTGTTATACCTGTTAAAATCAAAAGTCCTGAAAGAAATTAAAAATATATATCCTCTTTTATCAGGTAGGACCTGAGTTCAAAATCGTCACTTACAGTTCACCTTGAAAAAAGCCACGTGCTGTTTCAGATGATGACTGGGTTTGCCTGCAGTTTGTGATGGAGCACAGGGTGCGTTTCTGTGTGAGTCAAGGGCAATTCCTGCATGCAGTGTTGGTGCACTGCAGTGTGATGGAAACGTTGCTCCTGTATGGCAGGACATGTGTTCTTGTTTGCATTACAAGAAGGTGAAAAGCAGCTTATTCTGCAGCTGTTTGAAAGCCCTGCCTTCTGAAAGCTAAGTACAGGAGTTGGTTTAAACCCAACTTCGAACTCTGGAGTAACCCTCTTCTCTCCATGATACACCTTGATGCATTCCCAGAAAGGGCTGGGAAGGAGGAAAGACTCAAGCATGACTTGGCAGCATCTGAAAGTATTCCCAGAGTGTTGAGAGGTCTGTAAAGACAGTCCAATTCTCTCTTCTGGAGCGTATTTTCCATTAAATAGATTCCCAAACGATGCCTGAAACTTGCACACGCTTCCTCAGCACAGTTATCCTTGACCTGGAACTGTGAGAGGAGAATGACTGGAGGGGGGGAAAAAAAAAAAAGCTCTGGACTAGAACTGTGTTGCAAAGTGGAAAAAAAAAAGGGGGGGGGGGGGTTGTTACTGCAGAGTAATAGATGGTAATGTACTCCCTGTCTTGGGAGCCTAAGAGCAAGTGTTTTCAGGAGAAGAAAAACAGGAAAAAATTAAGACCAGTAGCTAGCTGTTACATTTTGTGAATTTTACACTGTTTCCCTGAGGTGCAGGTGAACAATGGCTAGAGTAGAACCATGTGAGAGCAAAATTGATTAGAAGTGTTGCCCTGAACCCAGGGGGAACCCACGGGGAACTCCCTGTGCGCCTGCCAGAGCTGTGCTCCCTCTGGGCTGGAGGTGGCTCAGGCAGAAGACACCACTCGCTTCCAGCAAACCCAGCGGCGCAACACAAATACTGGGTTGGATTTTACGATGATTGATTTTAAGATAAATAGGTAATACATGTATGTTTGAGCAGAGTGATGGACTAGATTGCTTTGTTGAAGAGGGAGAGAGTGTAGAGGGAAGATGGATTGCAGCTGGGCTCCGTGGGCTGCTCCAATGACACCGGTCAAGTTTCCAGCTGGGTGCTGTGCACATCTGCCAAGGAGTTGGAATGCTGATCCCAGTGTAGAGCAGAGAATTTGAGCTGCTGGAGAAGAAAAGCATGGGGAAAATGTCTTCGTCTTCGTGTCTCTTGAGTCTGGTAACGTTGCTCAGATAACATTTGAATAAATTTGTGCTCTTCGTAGTACCAGTACCACAGCTTTGCATTCTGGTACAGACCAGAGGGAGAGGAGAGTTATTGTGTTGCGTTGTTATCTGCACACATTGTAGTAAAAATAAGGTGTTCCCTGAAAGAACAAAAAATATTTGCAGACCCTCTCTCCTATAATGTATCCTAGAGGATAGCTCTTCATCCTGCAAGTCTTTCTGCATGCTTTTAAAGATACCTTCTTCCCTCTTTTAATGTTTCAATAGTGTGTACAGGTTTTGAAGACTAGAGATGTTAATTAATGTCACATAATTCTCTCTTAGAGTAACTTATGGAGACACATCTTCCTGATAGGGAGCTGAGGTGGGAAGGTGTGAAGCAGTTTATTTGATGGATACCTTTTCTAGGTGGTGACTAGTAAATCTCAGTGCCCTTGTGAAGGGCACGCACAGAATGGAAACATAATTCAAAAAATAAGAGTGGGTGTCTCTAATAGAGCCCTTGTTTAGCTTGGGGGAAAAATGAACAAATAAGCACATGACCTAAACTAGGAAATCCTGCTGGCTTACAGGGAGCAGTTTTGTGGGAATCACTCAAAACACAGGTCTTAAAATGAGATCTGGGAAGACCTGTGTGTCTTGATGTAAGCATGCATAAAATGTGTTCCTTGCCCCACAGGCAGTAGCACAGGTACTTGCAGAGGGATGCACGAAGCCGAAGCCAGCAGCCAGCCTGAACAGGGTGACGTGCCAGATGATGCTTTCCTTTCTGAAACTGAAGTGTGTCAGTAGGAGAGCAGCTGGAGTCAGCTTTTCAAAGGAGATCTGCAGCTCAGAGGTGGCTTGGCTGCACGCTCTGCTGAGATCTGAGCTGGAAGCTGTGCACCGCTCTTGCAGAGGCATCTCAAGCTCCTGTGGCTCCCAGCTCCTGCACCTGTGTGGGACTTGCCGCATGCCATGCGGCATCTGCCCGAGCTCTGCCTTTGTTGAAGTCCATTGCTGGCTGAAGACAGAAGGGGGCTCATCTGCAGGGACAGAGGCTGAGCGCTGGAGTGGTAGGGCAGCCACACGTACAGCAGCATTCATGTACTCCTTGGAGTACCCACTAATCCTGTTTAGTTTACTCCTGTCTAGCTCGTGATTTATGTGGTCAAATGATCGCATATAAAACCTCTACTCTCCTCTGGAGTGTATTTACTGTATGCCAGGTTTGATGTAAACCATTTTGAGAAAGTTACTCTCGAACTTCGTGATGTTGGAACTTTCTTCTGTCTGCTTATAAAGCTGGCAGTGTAATTACTGTAGTCCAATTGCAAGATACTGAGAGAGAAATTAATTCCCAAAATGACCTAAAGTAGCTTTAGGAAAACAAAAGTTAAGTCCTTTAATCTCTGTGTGTGGTTGAGATGCTCCTTTCTTTTCAAATAAAGTTCTCATTTAGCGCTGTCAAGTTTCTGCAGAGTAACCATTAGTCCTGTCACCTATTCAGGACAGAGCCTGGCTGGTTTAAAATGCACTAAGCTTCACTCTGATCACAAACCAGCTTTTCTATGTGAGGCTGAAGCGATATCCACGAACACCTCTTTTTATCTTGGCTTTGCAGCATAGCATGTAATTTTCTGTACTGCTTGAGCTCCAGCGTCTAGGCAACGGGAGGTGAGCTGAGGACCTGGTTTCAAACTTAAGTCTTTGTTTTTTGAAACAGACCAACCCCCAATCTGAAACCTCAGATATTATTCAAGTACATCAAGGCACATCAAGGAAATGTGAAGTGACACATTTGGAACAAAAGCTTGTTTGTAGTCAGATGGCTTCATACGGGGTGCTGAGCACTTAGTCAGATACGGATGGGCAGGAGCAGTGCTCACCTCTCTCCTGCCCTCCTGTGGGTGCAGTAAATGTGACTCGGGTCAGTTAAACCTGCAGATGGTATTTTCACGTGGATGCTGCAGTTGAGTTCCTCGCTTTTCTGTCTTTGTTCTGGAACTCGTCTTACTATTCAAGACAGTGTCATGTGTTGAGGTTTCTTTTGAGCACGTCCTCTGTTGGGTTGCATTGCACGTGGTGGCTGATGCTGATTCAGACCTGGTGGTTGTGGCTCTGCTCAAAGGAGCCAGGCCCACCTCACTGAGGAGTTTGTTCTTGTGGGGCTGGAACACAGTCTGTGGTTAGCATTGGAGAGAAACAGAACCTATTTGTTTTTTAAATGCCAACTTGAAGTGGAATTGAACTTGCTCTTGTGCTTGTCTCAGCATTCAGGCAGCATCACTGAAGTCTTAGCAAGGGAAAGTTTGACTTAAACATTACTAAGAAGAATCACTTGCAATAGTTAACTGTGCACACAAAGCCCTGAATTTTGTATGCCTGACCATACACTGCTTTCTGGGTTCCTGCAGAGCTGTCTTGGTGGTCTCTGTGGCTTGGTGTTCTCTCTGGTTCAGGAAGGCTCTAGCTGGTTTTACTTGGTGACAGGGTATATTTTAGATATGGGTGCATGGTTCAGGGAGAGGTTATATGCAACTTATGTCGGTTCTCCGTCTTTTTTGCAGGAGTGGCAGGAGTAAAAGCAGATCGTTTTGAGGAAGCAATGACAGCAAAGCACTGCGCGCTGTCACTGGTGGGAGAGCCCATCATGTACCCGGAGATCAACCGCTTCCTGAAGCTCCTGCACCAGCACAATATCTCCAGCTTCCTCGTTACAAACGCACAGTTTCCAGATGAGATTAGGTAAGGGCTGGACGAAATAACTCTGTTCCAAGGCATTTCAGTGCTGACCTGTGTTGTAATGCCATTTTATCATTTGTCCAAGTCAGCTCTGCACGAGTGCTGACAATAAAAAAGAAAAGCTTACTTGGCACCTCTTCGATTTTAGCCTTAATCTCCCTGTGTTTCTTCATCTTTCTCTCTCCCAGCTTGATTTTTTCTTTTTTATATCTCTTAAAGTGTGATCACTTCTTGAAGTGAAGAGAATGTAATATCGTATCTCCTGGAGGTGTGAGGGAAGGAGAGCAGCAAGTGAGCTGTGTCTTGTGCTTGGGGATGCAGATACCTGGCGTGAGTGTTTGACAGCTCGAGCAGGCCAAACGCAAATTGTCTGTCTGGTTTGTCTGCTTCCCTTGCAGTCTGACATCTGCTCTGACTGCCTTATAAACAGACGTAACAGCTCAAACCCAAGGTCTGTACAGGTCAGCCTCTGCAGCAGGACCCAGAGCGCAGTGTAAGAGCACGAGAGAAGCACAGCAATACGTTAACCTCATCTGCAGAAGCAGGAGCAGTAGTTACTATCTCCCTCTCAGAGGGACTTGTGCTAAACATTCACACAACAATTCAAGAGCTCCAACAGAGTTTTTACAAATATGACGCATTGCTGATTCAGATGTCTTTTAGTAACCAGGCCATGTTTAATAAAAATAAGGAATATAGCAAGGAAACAGTTAGTGCCCTTGCTCTGCACAGTAGTGTGAGCTGCAAGGTGGCTGGGAACTGATTTGAACACCATCAGCTAACAATGCTGACAAAGTCCATCCCTGGAGTTAGTTGAGCAAGTTAGCGCAGCTGTATGCGGGGTGGTTCTGGTATGTTGCTCAGCTTATTTCAGTTCAATGCCTTTCCATATTAGTGCTTTCTGAGAGAGCTTCCTTTTTACTTCCTTTTCATGGTCTGAATATGGCAGTGAGGGGGGAAGGGCATGCAATTTTTGAGTGAGTAATTATACACTACAAAGGCATTCCAAATGATTGAATAATTGTGTAATCAAGTTACTTTAAGTCATGTATTATGTGCCTGATAGACAGAAATTGCTCCTTCCTAAAAATAGCATTTTAAAAGGAGAGCATACTATATTTTGCAGCTGATCTCTTAGGATCTGCTGAATGTTGTTAAAAAGAAACAAAAAAGTGATAGAATGCTAGTCTTGCTGTTGTTAAAAGTTGCAACTGATCTTTGGTTAATGACTTGCATAATACAAGAACTAAAGTGTGCACCAAGTTCATTTTTCTATTGTCAGAAGAGGGGAGCTGTAGTCTAAAAGTTGGTCCTGAAACAGGCAGCATGACCTCTGGCATTCAGCACGCAAACTCAGAGCACGCCTGGGGTGTTCCCTGGCTTTGGGGGGACCCAGTGGGTCTCCAGCGTGGTGCTGCCTGTGCCTTCCTCTTCCTTTGTGTTTGGGCTGCAGCTTCATCTGCTTCCAGACAAACACTTTTTCATAAAGCAGAAGCGATTTCGTTGGTGTGAGCTCATTGAACGGCTACCTGGCTCTTGTCCTCTTTTATTGTTCCTGATTATTGCCTGTGAACAAGAACCCTCACATCTATGTCTGCATTTATGAACATCAATAATAGTGAGCAGATGCTCATTATTGCTCACAGAAATGAGCATTTCCTTATTATATTGTTGTTTCTGGGTTTTTGTATCATTAAGCAAGTTGCGTTGTTTTTCTTGCTTGTAAAACTACCCCATGGCTGGTGGTCTGAAGTCAGTTTACTGCTACACAACTTAGCTGTGATTTCTGCATGAGTTCATCTTACACATAGTAAATGCCATGAATTTCAGTTTGGCCTCCTGGATAGGATCTCAGCTGTCTTCAGTTGTGGTAGTTTGCAAACTATAACCCAAAATTAAGGAGAAACTTTCAAAAACCTATCTTAGTAGTGTGCAACTAAATTTCCTGTTAATTATGAAATCTGGGTGTGTTCAGGGAAGATTGGTTTGTGCTGTTTCTCCCTGGTGATGGGTGTACCCCTGGATTCCCTTTTACCTTGTCCCCCATTTGGCGAGAGCGTGCAGGAAGTCATGCTGGTTCCTGGCCATGGCAGAGCTCTGTGGGCAGTTCTGGTTTGCAACAATTTGGGGCAGAAATCCCTTGCTGGCATCTCTTAAGGAGAGAGAGAGAGATTAAGGAGTTACCTTAAGGAGTTAGCTTTCTCCAGGGCTGAGTCTGCTGCCTCTTGCCTGTCCTTGGGATTCATTCAGATGCCTAGAAGAGATGATTTTCTCAGCTCGTGTTTTAAAAAACCACTTGCTCCATCTTCACTGGGGTCTCCTAATTAGGCAAATGTAGCTTTAAGGAAAGACAAGAAGTATTTTGGCTATGTTCATTGTATTTGAATACTTCAGTCCACTCATGGCTAGAACATTTGGTCATTTCTGGAGCTTGTGGCTTTGGGCTGGCAGTCCAGACAAGCTTAATTGCAAAACAGTTTTTTTAACCGAAAATGTTGTATTTGCTCTGGGCTGTTTCATTCTTTTGTCTAAATACGTACTGAGAAAGTATGTTTACATAGGTTGAGTGTTCATGTCGAGTAATTGGATTTTCTGGCTGCTAACAGCTCTGCTAGGTCTTGTTCTGGACAGTTCTTGTCATCCTGTCACCTCTGGGGAGGGTGAGACACTTTGGTGTATTTTTAGGTGGCGTTATTTGGCAGCTGAACAATAGCTTCTAATTTGTTCTCATCTTCTAAAGGACCAAATCAATCTGGGACTATAGTCTGCTCATTAACAGCCTTCACACACGCACATTAAAAAAAAAAGCGGGGAAAAAAAGACACTTGCAAAGCGTTGTCCTAAAACTGCTAAGAGCTGGAGGCCCTCATTTTGTCTCCCTGAGGACAGCGGAGGAATGAGTGTGTGTTACCCCTGCTACCTTATCAGTCCTCTCTGTGGCAAGGGAACTCGCTTTAGTTTGCTCCTTTTTTTTGTCCTTCATTATCCCTTTTCTAATGGACTTCATCGTTGCTCATTCTCTTTTATACCCTTGGGATTTCGGGAATGAATTATGCTCTTTGCAGAGCCTCTTGACCTAGGCTCTTAGCAGGGCAGGGGAGGTTTCATCATTTGGAAGTTACCTGTGTTGGGCTCCCAGATGCTGTGTTCACCAGCACTGTGTAACCAGATGCACTTTATATCAAATAAGAGTCCTGGAAGTAGAAGGAGAACACTGGGGGAGGGGTGGCACTTTTTTTTTTTTTTAACAGCTTTGATTTTCCTTCAAAACATTATTTGACAGATGATGCCAGCTGCAAACAATAAATTCAGTGTGTCCAGCAGTAGAAATTGGCTGAATTAAGGTTGTATTTTTGTTGAATGGGTTTACTTTTCCATGGGCTAGGGTGAATAGCAGCTCAGGGGAAGGGGCTGAGCTTCATGGCTTTTACCCACGTGGGCTGTGGTGTGCAAAGGAGTCGATGCCTCGCATGAACCCATGGCAGCCTGCAATGGGAAAGGTTTCTGAGTGTTTTAGAAGTACACTTCAGTGAAGCATGTTCCGGCTCAGTGAGGAAAAGATAACCTTGTATCTCAAAGATGTCCTTTGTATGGGGTACTCTTACTTTTGGGGTATATTAAGTGCTGAAAGAAAATTGTAACATCTTACTGGTAAGAGCGGTCATTTGGCAGTGGTGTGAAATGCTGAACCTTAAGAGTTTCCCTATGAATACAGCATAGTTCCTGGAGCAGCAGAGCAGCTTGTTGGCAGATGCTGTATTTTTATACATGCCTTGGTAAGAATGCCCACCTTCAGTTAACAGGAATATCTGAAAATAACAATCCCCTTCTTTTTATTATCAAGGAACCTCGAGCCAGTAACGCAGCTGTATGTCAGCGTGGATGCCAGCACCAAAGAGAGCCTGAAAAGAATTGATCGACCCCTCTTCAAGGATTTCTGGCAGAGGTTTCTAGACAGTTTAAAGGCCTTGTCTGAAAAGGTACCCATATGAGAATATTTTTTCCTTCCTTCTGCATGTTACCTACTTGGGACAAAAGTGGAGGATGGAGGGTCTTAAGATACATCCAGAATCCACTCTGAGGTCTGTTAGCAGCATGTTTTGCACATAAGTTGTATAACATGTAAAACTCCAGCATGGTTGATCAGTTTTCTATGTGAGAAGAAATTCCATAACTAGGAGAGGAGAATGTGTCAAATGGGACAGTAAACTTTGTAAGTTTAAGATAATGAATATAAGATGTGAAGATAAGAGATGAGTTTATAAGATAATAGATTTCATAATGGAACATGGATACTGATGGCTGCTCAAAAGATTAGAAATTCAGGGAAGCCTAGGAAGAATTGTAAATCCATGCAGTACTCAGCACTGATTCGCAAAGGCTCCCTTGAAATTGAATTACATAAAGGGCGTAATTTGTGTGCTGGAGATTCCTAGCTCTACTTGCCCTCCTGCTACATAGTTCTAAGCACATCTGCTTACGTCTGGAAGATTTAGTTGAAATAGTGTATTTGAGCATAGTTATAAGGGTGTCCCTTTGCACTGTCAGTATTTTGTGCCTGTGCAAGACAGCTGAATGGTGACCTGAAAACACAGGCTCGCGTCTGCTGCTGTTGTCTCAAAATTCAGTCCACCGTGTTAGTGTTTTTAATAGCGATTAATGAATCACTCTTGGTCACAGCATCACGTGAATTAATAATAAAAGTGCTTCATGAATGCCTTTCCTCACTTGTTTACTGATACTGCACTCTGATGGAAACAAGTACGGCTATTTACTGTTTTGGCAGAAGTTTGTATGTTACCTGCTGAGATGAACAGGCAAGAGACTGTTTCATTTGAATCAAATTTACTGCCTTCTGAGATGACAATGTTGGACCATTTTCTGCCAAATATGCTTACATTAGGAGATCCAGGAGACTCAGTGTAATTGAGTGACACTTTCTTCTGCAAGGGCATGTGGGTAGCTTTATCAAGCTGTTTTTAAGTGCCAGCTGATCTTGTTGAGCAAAATCTCAGGCCGAATACTGAGCTGACTGAAATTGAGTACAAACTTTATCATTAAATACTGTGAGTAGGAGAAGCTGTGGAAATAAGAAGGGGGACTAAAATACTGAAAGCAAAAATACTGGAGAAGTCTTTTGGGAAGCTGATTTTTGCTCTCCTGTCTCTCTTGACCCTGGTAGATAGGGTTCATCCATTGCCGCATGTTGTCAGAAATTTCCTTGCAAAGAACTGAATGTGAAAGTATTGGCAAGTCTGTCCATGCAGCTAAAAATACCCTGGTCAAGGTGAAGAACAAAAAAAAAAAAGCTCAGCTAGCAGGTGCATTTTCTCCTAAAAACAACTGCACTTTGAAGGGTCCTTGAAACACTGATAACACAAGAGCCAATTAATAGTTTCTCCAATGGGTAATGCACTGTTCTGCCAGCCCCTGCTCAGCTGCACATTGTGTCATCAAACACAGGCAGCAGCAAGGAGTCTCAAGGAAGTTGCTGTTCATAAGTTTTCATTTAATGTTACATGTAGTTGTGGCACCTAAAAAACATCTTGAGCTGCTTCTGGGTGGAAGCAACTGTTTTCCTTCCAAGTGCACTGCTTGGTGTTCACATGTGATTTTAAGCACCTTTCTTTAGGACTGTGATGAATGAGGAGTGCTGAAAGCTAATGCACCTGCTGATATTCCTGAGAAATACAGCTTCTATTTCAGAGTGGATGGTGATGTGCTGATGCATTGTGTTGGGAAAGTGATGCTAATATATCTGGAAATAAAATACAAGTCCAATATTTTCACACAGCCTGACAAACTATCCAGGTTTATTCAATTTAATTCTCCTGAGACTGAGACAAGCTGGCATTGCAGCTGATATGAGTCACTGCTGATAAGAATCACTGATAGGCTTGATCTGGGTGCATTTTAAAAAATAAACAGAAATGGGCAAAGGGAGTTTGGAAGGAAGAAAAAAACAAAAACAACAAAATGGTTGTACCTTGCTGCGCTTGCTTCTGTGTTTGGCAAGTGCTGCTCCTGCTTGCGTGATGCCCACTGGCAGGTAGAGAGCCTGGCCGTTCTGTGGCTGTGTGCTTGGTGCTGCAGGGATGGGCAGTTAGAGACAGGAGTGAATTTAATAATGCGTTGTTCCCAGTGTGCTTTCACAGCATCATACAGCATGTTAGTGATTAGTTGCTACGGCATTTGCAAGGGAAGTTCAGGAATTCCTGTCTGAATTTAAGAAGAGATTGGACTGTGCACTTAGTCACATGGTCTGAACTTTTGGGTAGACCTGTGCGGTGTCAAGAGTTGGACTTGATGATCCTTAAGGGTCCCTTCCAACTCAGGATATTCTATGATTCTATGAAAAAAAAAACTTTTGTGATTTCTGCAACAAACAGGAAGGAACCCTGTCCTTGTCCCCTGCTATGTGGTTCAAGTGTTATCCTTTCTAGAGGAATTCTCATTTAGATGATCTTTGTGTTGAGTTTTCTATGCCAAGAAGTGTTTCTTGAGAGAGGAATTTGTTAAACAGCAGGTGGACTCCCAGAAGGCTCCATTTGTTTCTCATCATGTCTTCCATCCTCCAGATCAAATTGAGAGGAAGAAGAAAGATGCTATGTGCAATTTAGAATATGCCCTTTCTGAATGTCACGTTTTGGAAGTCTCATAGACTCATCCTCTGACAGCCTTTAGTTCATCAGAACAACTGAGAGATGACCTGAGTTGATGGACCAGGCATTTGGAAGAAGCGCTAAGAATGTGAATCCTTCTCTGCTAGGGATGAGAAGTCTGTATTCCAGTGGTAGGAATTTCTTCCAGCCATTGCTTTTTCATAATGCAGTATCCAAATGAGAAATGAGGTGCAAATTAATTTCAAATGTCCAGAAGCTCAGGAGGGAAAAAATAGATTTTCCATACCTCATAATTTTCTTATCAAGCTGATGCTGTTTTTTTTTTTTTTCCAAAAATACCTTTAACCAAATGTGTTGCCTGATGATGAGAACACGGAGCTGACATTGTGAGCTCTGAAACACCAGCAGACCTATGATCCATTTTACTTTTCTGACTTTGTGCTCTGTTTCCCTCAGTGTTACTCCAACAGGTTCTGTGGGTTGAGCAAGACTTGAAAACTGTTATTCTTGCTGGTGATAAATCACCAGATGTTTTCCCAAGCAATAGGGACGTTGACTGAGAAAAATGCGAAACACCCTGTTGCTGGTATGTGAAGTGGCGATGCAGTGACCCAGTATTGCAAAAGTGCTTATTTCTACCCAAGTGCACTGAAAATAACTAAAGAAAAATCGGTGATGGGCAGAGCAGCAGGATGTGCCCTGGTTGTGGTTCAGCATTACGTTGCACCATCTCTGAGCATTTTTCAATTTCTATATCTTTGGGAACACAAGATAACCTTTGAAGCAAGTGCCTGCTACTGCCTGGACACTTGAGGGTTTGAGCAGTAGGGGAATATTCCTTGTTGGTGTTCAGGTGCTCTGAGGAGCACTCTTCCACCCTTGACGTGGTGTCACCTCTTCTGTCTGTGTCTTCTTGACTTAATCATGATAAATCCTGTCCAGTCAGCTCAGAACTTGCTGTGCTGCCAGGCACCAAGTAGGCACTGCTGAACTGCTTTAACTTTAAGGGGACAGGTGCCAATGTTCTCTGAAACAGATTGGAGCCATGCACAAAGCAAACAGGGGAAAAAACCCTTTAGGTTAATAGATGTTATGGCACTGTGGGAACTGATGATGAGGCAGAACCTTATCCTTCCTGTCCTTCCAGGAGAGTCACAAAAAGCAAAAGAAGTGGTTTATTGGTGCTTTCTGGAGTTCAGTGTCTTTATACATCATATACAACTCTTGCTTTAAATCTTGGGTAAAACCTTGCCTTCATTTTTTCCTTCTTCAGAGGAATTAAGATTTCATAGAGAAACAGGGTCATGGCTCTGTGGGTGCGATGTAGCAAAAGTCTCTTTTTTCCTCCCACTAAAAAGGACCAAAAAAAAATTAAAACTCCTAGCTCTGCTTGTCCCAGGTTATCACATATTTGATAGGATGTTGGCTTTCCAAGGACTTCAGTGCCTGTCCCCCTTGCCATAAGCTGATAGAGATGGTTTGTCCAGAGAAAGGCATGAAATATGAAATGTCTCATGTCTTCCAGTTCTGTGCTGGCACATTGCTTACAGGTAGTTCCTTTTACATTTCTCAGTGATGACACCAACTTGCATATTTAAATGTTTTCTGTCTTGCATCTGTTGCTATTTCCTTTGGTCTTTTCCAATATGATTCTTTCTTCAAAGTTACCCTTGGCTTCTGTGTGATTACAAACATAGTGTAAATACATTGAGTTGCATCTTAAGCATGTTGTAGTGATCATTGTGTAATATATGACAGTAATGATTTCTTTTATGAGAAGAGCACATTTGATTTGCATGGAGATTATTTATGTGGTTACTGGGGGGAGGGACTGGTTTGTAGAGCCTCGTCTGTTTCTGAGCTAAGTGACTTTTTGAGGAGAATTTAAATGTAAAAATTTCTAACAGATGTTAGAATCAGTAATCAATTTTGCTACTATAAATTTAGAAGTATTTGACTCTTCTGCACAGAAAATGCTCTCTACCAGCTGTGTGCTTGTTTTAATAGTTTTGCTAATGAGACTTCTGGTGTAAGCCTTCTGAAATGCAATATGATGTGTTACAAAGGTACAATATTAAGTTATAGTTTCTGAAATACATCATCTCCTTTCAGCTTAGCTTAGAGCAAGCAGCAATCCAAATGAGGCTTCAGCAAGATTCTTGGCATCAGAGGGAGTGAAATCTTATTTCTGCTGTCTGTTCCAGTATCTCTCGGTTCGCTTGCAGGCAAGAAAAGGGGAAAAATGTTCATAAACACACTTCATAATCAAAAATGATCCAATATTCCGAGGCGCTGGTTGTTGCTGTGCCTTAAGAAGACAGGATAGCGAGCCTGGCTGAGAAGCAAGGTGTCTCTGG